TCGGGAAGTTACCCCCAGAGCTATCTACTTGGAGCTAGCCCCCTGTGCGGCCATACATTCCATCACAGCTTTCTTCTTTCTTTTGTTTTTTTCGCGAGGAAACGCTGCAAGAGAGCGTCTGGAGGCACCTGCGGGTGGTGACGGCCAAGTGGCCGGCGCATCTGAGGGCTCTGCTGGACCGCAGGCTGCTGGTGGTGGATGAGACCTCCCTGGCGCTACCCATGTGTCATGGCAGTAGCTTCGCTCTTGCTTTGTGGCTCCCAGCCATCCCCTTAGCCTTTTCGCTTTTTATTGTTTGGTTCCATTCATAACCCACCAAAAGTGAAACTTTTAGCAGGGGGTCTATTTTTAGTCAAGGTGAGTTGTTGCATCATGTTAGTTTCATTTCGAGCTCCTTTCAGGCAAGCTTAAGGTAGCGGGGGTGCGGGGGACTACAGGTGTGACCTTTTCTTGCAGGTCAGGTATCAGCCGAGGTTTTTCAACATGCAGGAGGCGGGTAGCCTCAACTGGCACCGATTCTCGGCTGAGCCTTTGGTGGGTCCGACCCCACCCCCCCCCCCCTCCCCCCAAACCAGCAAATCGTTTTTTTTGTTTTAGTGTGTATGTAGTGGCTGTGTCAGTCTGTTTTACCACTTGCAGTGGGTTAGGCGTGGTTAACATCCTCTTGGACTGAGGATCGGCATTTCAACCAGTTTTTCTCTCCCATGTCCCAAGACCCCTTAGAAGCAGAAAACAGGACTTGCATTTTGGTGTAGTTCCCTTCTGCGGATGGACGAAACACCTAAGACACCATGAAAATCCTCCTTGTGGATGCTTCAAGTACCGTTGCCATTTTCACCCGAAGGCGGTTCAGGGCGGGAACCATGGGAAGGTCATCAGGGTGATCGTATATTTTTGGATAACATGAGCCACTTGGCTGACTCAGGGGACTCTCAACAGCTAGGTTCCAGCCACCAAAGAGCACCCCGCTTGTTGGATCCTATTCAACGGGTCACTCTTGGCTGACCCACAGATTCACCCGCTTGACGGCGGCACACCTGCGGAACTGGGAAAAGGGGGGCTGAAGGAAGGGGGGGGGCGGGGGCCCGCTGGCGCAAGGGTACAAGCAGAACGCCTCGGCTCGCAGCGTCATGGGCGCCGCGCCTTGGCGCTGAAAGCTCAGACGTGGAATCTGACAGGAGGGTTTTGGATGTGGCATCCCCAACAGCATGTCTGGAACCCTCCAAGACCCCCCCCGAACGCTGCTCGGAAGCACCCCAGAACGTATCTGGGCAGGCAGGCCGTAGCTTTCATCAGTTTTGGCCAACTGTCAGTCAAGGTTCCAACATAGCTGTCAGCCACTCCGCAGACAACGGTCTTAGCAAACAAAGATACACAACCTCATACCCTCCCACCATCTCCCACCAATGAACACGGCACCTGACGTTCGGGGGGTCCTGGTTGGACCATTTTCCTTTTCCAGGGGCCTTCGGTGGGAGGATACCAACTTCAACCAAGAACATGGCCGTTGTTGGGAACCATTTTGCATTTTTTGCTTTTTGTGGTTTAGTGATTGAAATCCAACCACAAACCTGCTGTTTTTTTTTTTTTTTTTTGCTCCCCTTCCAACGTCAACCAAGAGAAGCGGTCAAACCTCTTGGAAGGTGCCGAGCATGATGGGAAGGCTCTACCTCATGGAGCTTCTGCGGACTTCGGAGCAGCAGCTCGGATTTGGTTTCAGTCCGGTGAGGGGGAGGGGGATCCTTTGGGTGGCGTCCATTTGCTTACAGAAGAGCCCGCCATGGGGCCTGCGTTTGTTTGCTTAAGAGTAATTATGCTTGTTATTTTTGCTTGGTTTGTGAAGGGACGGTTTCGTTGACTGGAGATAGTGTTTTGCTTCTCCGGAGGACTGACGCACATGAGGCTGAGGAAGAGTGGCTGAGGAAGACTGACGCTTCGGACAAATTTGGAGGGCCCCAGTCAGAGTAGATACCTGGCAAAAGACACGCACAATTCCCTACCGAAGTAGCTGGCCGGGACTCCGAAGTTCGGGTGATTGAAGGTTAGGGCCCATTTTTTGACCAAAGATAGGTGCGGACATCTCGGTTCTGAGGTTTTTCTACCAGGTTCGATTGAGACTTTCCTTGGGCCGAGCTTTGCGGCCGAGCTTTGGGGCATCCCTGTTTTCGGGCTTCCGGACATATTCTTGCGGACTGCTTGGGGCAGAGAAAATGGGATTGGGCCGGGGGTCCTGCACTCCTGCACCCCCCTCCCCACACAGCAAGGCACTTGAGGGAATCGGTTCCGTCAGGGTGAATAATGATTGGTCCCCTTAGCTATGGGCTTGGGTCGACATACCTCCCTTGGGACTGAAAGCGCGGAAATGAAGGGGACTCACTTCCCCAGTCTCTGGACAGTCTGTAGTCACCTTTTCTGGGTCTCCCACACGGTTTTACAGTTTAGGGCCATAGGCGGGGTAGGCCACGTTTGAGAGGTGAGCAGTAAGGTGCTGTATCCCAGGATTTGTTTCCTGGTTTGAAAGTTGTGGGGGTAAGCACTATATGCCTGTGTGTATGTATATAATGCCTTTGTATATGTATATGCATATACATATGTATGTACATGTGTGTACACACACACACACATATATATATATATATACACACATACACACATACATACACGTATTTATATATATATATATGTATGTATTAAGTATACGTATATACATATACACATACCCAGTGAAATCCCCAACCTCCTGAAAGCTGCTCCGAACCGAGCAATCCAAAGACATGATTTCTGCGGACAGCTGGGAAGACCGATTTTGGGAAGACCAGCTTTGCCTCACCAGTTCGCTGACTTTTTTTGGCCGATCCAGGATGAGGCAATGAGACACCATGCCTGTTCAAGTCTCCGACTGGGCATGGAACGCCTTAAAGCTAAAGGGCGACCCAAAACCGGTTTTAACACATAGACAGACAATCGGCCCACCCGAAGCCAAATGCCATTCCGCCCTTTAAAATGGGAAACCACACGAAAAAGCGGTGGCACCAGCCGCTTTAGGAGTGCCTTCCGCTTTCGGAGTGTGGGTCCGAAGTCTCGGCCGCTTCCGAAGGCTTCCCGAGAGATCCGGCGGCGGATCTCTCGGGGCGCGGGTCTGCGCCGAGTGCCCGCAGCAGGGCCGCTCGGAGCGCAAGGACGCGGCATGGGCCATGGGGCGTTGGCTTCAGAAGTTGACTCGACTGCTCTTGGGCAACGGATCTTTAGACCATTTTTGTCTTTCTGGTTGAAATCAAGTTGGGTTTTCCCCACGAAATTGCAGAGGGGTCAACAGCAACAAAACATACAGGGCCAATGGGGCGGGGGTTTGGCTTCAGATGGTTTTCACCCCAAAGAACCTCATGGGCATCCGGGAGAAAAAACAAATGCAGGGTGCGGCCTTTTCCGGGGGGTGGGAGGTTTCTCAAGAAAGTCCTGGGTTGTTTGAAGGGTAAGGTGTTGGAAGGGGTCAAATGGCCGGCTTGGGTTTTGGCTAAGCGTTTTGGCGCAGCACCAAGAAGGTTCTCAGTGTTGAGCCCTTGGCACCAAGACCGTGATCAAAGGATCAATCACCCCTGAACAAAAGATTCATATCATATCTGGTGTGTGTAGGTTGTGCGGGTACCTTTTGCAGGGACCCAAGGGGTCCGTGACCTAGGCTGCTGTCCCTGGACCCCTCCGGCTGTGCTCCCAGCCCACAGTCTGTCCAACGCGGGCATGGATTTTCTGGACATGAAGAACCTCTCGCTCAGCAGCTGCGCAAAACGCTGAGGCCGGCAAAATCAACGGGCTACCCTGGAAGTAATGCAACGAGGGGAATGTGCGATGCTAACCACAAGCAGTCGTCGCAAGGCTCTGGAGCATTTTTGCAGTTCTCCCAGGCTCGGCAGCTCCCCACTGCGAAGGTCACGTTTTGAGCCGCAAAGCTGAGAGGATATCTTTGAGAGATGCTGTGTGTTTCCAGGTTTTCAAGAGGATTGCTCGGGGGAACCTGATGGGTAAAAGTCCCCAGGTTGACCTGAGCTGAGCTGGTTGTCTCACACTCGCGCGGAGGTTCTTGGCGAATTCGACCCGATCGGTCCACTTCACCTTCACCCACAAACGTGGAACCCCACGGCAGGGCTTGGCTGGCTTGGCCCATGGCAAGGCCGTTGCCTCGCCACTTCGGCCCAAGTTGGTGAGGGAATTTTGGCCCATCAGTGCAGAGGTTCTTTCATTAGACGGGGGGATGGGCAAAAGAGCCCTGAGCCCTGGACGCGAGTTGAAAAGGGCAGCTGGAGCGCTGGATCGCCATGTATATGGAACTACCAAAATTATTGGGTAATTAGCGCGTGGTTGGTTTCGGGGGGGGGGGGGAGGAGAAGGGGGGCGACGAGTTGTCCTATGTGTGGTGCTAGGGGGACGATTCGAGGGACAAGCCGAGCTTAGCCGTAGAGCACATCTTGTCTCTCCTCAGTTTATTTGCTCTGTACGGCTTGTTTGCAGTGAACTTGCCAAGGAGATTTACACGGAGCGTAAGGGTTTGGAGCCTTTCTTGCAGAGCTTTACAAGGCCTTATCCGCTTGAGCTGGCCAAAGCCAACAACAACAAAAGAACTGGAAAAAGAGAGAGAGAGAGAGAGAGAGAGAGAGAGAGAGAGAGGAGAGAGAAAGACAGAACCTGGGGTGGGTTCTTGGGTCAGCACGGGTCATGGCACCTCTTGGATTTCTCAACCGAGGCCCAGAATAGTGATTCAAACAGCACCAACCACCCCGCGACACACTGCCGGCCGCCCGCCGCCTTTTTGGGCCAAGAAGCAAGGGTGGCATTCGGAGCGCGGCGACCCCGGCAGGAAACAGATCCTCGAGCTGCAGGAGGGCCTCCGCAATTCGCGATCCCAACCCTCAGGTCCTTTGGCCAAGGGATCTCTTGCCGGCTCCCCATAAAGCGTTCCCCCCCCACCCCCCCAACAAAAAAAAAGAGAGCAGGCTCCAGTTCGACCCGGGTCGTAAAGGTCACTTGCGGCAATGCCTTGGCCATGAGCCGATGGAAAATCTCGGGGGTCCTCTGCGTGGCGTCTGGCGGCCTTTCTTGGGCGAGCTGGCGCTGGTCGTCCGGCGAGCGCCACGTGGCGCCCTGGACTCTGTTTGCCTATGGGAATCGCGAGCTCAGCGATTCGGGAGCACAACGAGCTCACTATGATACACGTTATTTTTCTTGGGGATCCCTCAATTGATTCAGGAGTTGGAATTAACAGGAGACCCAAACACTTCAAAACATGTCATACTCCAACAAAAAAGGATGCCTGCGCATTGTGCTGCACATGAACACATTTTTCCCAAAAGCATCTCTGATGCTTGGGTTCTGCTTTAGGTTTTCTCTTAAGGTGCCTGGGAGCGATACAAGCTGTGACAACGGAGATAAGAAGGGATTTCCATTTCGTTGTGCTGCAGACCGGGCGTGCGATGCCGGCTGGGGGTGCAGACCGGGCGTACGAGGCTGGCTGGGGGGACGGCGGTGTGGGGCTGGCTGGGTGCGCGAGACTGGCGCGGTGGACGCTCGTGACAAGCGGAAACCGCCCCCGAGCGAGACGGGCGCGGGGCACGCTCGTGACAGGCGGAAGCCGCCCCCGAGCGAGACTGGCGCGGTGGACGCTCGGGGCATGCGGAAACCGCCCGCGAGCGAGACTGGCGCGGTGGACGCTCGTGACAAGCGGAAACCGCCCCCGAGAGCAAGGAGCGGGCGCGGGGGACGCTCGTGACAGGCCGAACCGCCCCCGAGCGAGACGGGCGCGGGGGACGCTCGTGACAGGCCGAAACCGCCCCCGAGCGAGACGGCGCGGGGGCGGTGGGACGCTCGTGACAGGCCAAAACCGCCCCCGAGCGACGGGCGCGGGGGACACTCGTGACAGGCCGAAACCGCCCCCGGGGGACGCTCGTGACACACGCTCGTGACAAGCGGAAACCGCCCCCGAGCGAGACGGGCGCGGGGGACGCTCGTGACAGGCCGAAACCGCCCCCGAGCGAGACGGGCGCGGGGGACGCTCGTGACAGGCCGAAACCGCCCCCGAGCGAGACGGGCGCGGGGGACGCTCGTGACAGGCCGAAACCGCCCCCGAGCAAGAGGGCGTGGGGGACGCTCGTGAAAGGCCGAAACCGCCCCCGAGCGAGACGGGCGCGGGGGACGCTCGTGACAGGCCGAAACCGCCCCCAAGCGAGACGGGCGCGGTGGACGCTCGTGACAGGCGGAAACCGCCCTCGAGCGAGACTGGCGCGGTGGACGCTCGTGACAGGCCGAAATCGCTCCGAGCGAGACGGGCGCGGGGGACGCTCGTGACAGGCCGAAACCGCCCCCGAGCGAGACTGGCGCGGTGGACGCTCGTGACAGGCGGAAACCGCCCCCGAGCGAGACGGGCGCGGGGGACGCTCGTGACAGGCCGAAACCGCCCCCGAGCGAGACGGGCGCGGGGGACGCTCGTGACAGGCCGAAACCGCCCCGAGCGAGACGGGCGCGGGCAGGCCGAAACCGCCCCCGAGCGAGACGGGCGCGGGGACGCTCGTGACAGGCCGAAACCGCCCCCGAGCGAGACGGGCGCGGGGGACGCTCGTGACAGGCCAAAACCGCCCCGAGCGAGACGGGCGCGGGGGACGCTCGTGTAAGGCCGAAACCGCCCCCGAGCGAGACGGGTGCGGGGGACGCTCGTGACAGGCCGAAACCGCCCCCAACGAGACTGCGCGGGGACGCTCGTGACGAGACTGGCGCGGGGGACGCCGTGAGAAAACGCCCCCGAGCGAGACTGGCGCGGTGGACGCTCGTGACATGCGGAAACCGCCCGCGAGCGAGACTGGCGCGGTGGACGCTCGTGACAAGCGGAAACCGCCCCCGAGCGAGACGGGCGCGGGGGACGCTCGTGACAGGCCGAAACCGCCCCCGAGCGAGACGGGCGCGGGGACGCTCGTGACAGAAACCGCCCCCGAGCGAGACTGGCGCGGTGGACGCTTGTGACCGGCGCCCGCGAGCGAGACGGGCGCGGGGGACGCTCGTGACAGGCCGAAACCGCCCCCGAGCGAGACGGGCGCGGGGGACGCTCGTGACAGGCCGAAACCGCCCCCGAGCGAGACGGGCGCGGGGGACGCTCGTGACAGGCCGAAACCGCCCCCGAGCGAGACCCAAAGAGCGAGACTGGCGGGGGACGCTCGTGACCCGACGAGACGGGCGCGGGGGACGCTCGTGACAGGCCGAAACCGCCCCCGAGCGAGACTGGCGCGGTGGACGCTCGTGACCAGCGGAAACCGCCCGCGAGCGAGACTGGCGCGGGGGACGCTCGTGAGAGGCCGAAACCGCCCCCGAGCGACACGGGCGCGGGGGACGCTCGTGACAGGCCGAAACCGCCCCTGGGAAACCGCCCCCGAGCGAGACTGGAGCGAGACTGGCGCGGTGGACGCTCGTGACGTGCGGAAACCGCCCGCGAGCGAGACTGGCGCGGTGGACGCTCGTGACAAGCGACAACGCTCGTGACGGAAACCGCCCCCGAGCGAGACGGGCGCGGGGGACGCTCGTGACAGGCCGAAACCGCCCCCGAGCGAGACTGGCGCGGTGGACGGGCGCGGGGGAGCGCTACAGGCAGAAACCGCCCCCGAGCGAGACGGGCGCGGGGGACGCTCGTGACAGGCGGAAACCGCCCTCGAGCGAGACAAATGGCGCCGATGTGTTTCCAGGACGAACCCTCTCTTGAGAAGCTGTGGCCTCTTGGGGTTCGCCCTACTTATTTGGAAGCAGCCTGGAAGCACGTTGAAAATGTTTATGCTGAGCACACTCGGCCAAACAAAAGGGCGTACGAACATCCGAGCGGCTGACCCCGGTCTACGCAGATTGTGTCTCAGACTTGTTTCAGACAGGCGTCAGACCCACCAAGAGACCGAGGCTTGTCCACACCGAGCCCCCGCACTTCTTGCCGCACACAGGACCCGAACAAACGCCAATGTGTTTCTAGGACTCTCTTGAGAAGCTGTGGCCTCTTGGGGTTCGCCCTACTTATTTGGAAGCAGCCTGCACGCAGGTTGACATGAATATGCTGAGCACACGCGGCCCAGACAAAAGGGCGCACGAACATCCGAACAGCTAACCCCGGTCTACGCGGATCGTGGTAACACTGTGTCTCAGACTTGTTTCGGACAGGCGTCAGACCACCAAGTGACCGAGGCTTGTCTACGCCGAGCCCCCCGCAAAAGCACAGCGCCGGCCCCCTCCCACCCAACTTGCCATCTACACGCATCCAATTGACAATGTGCGCGGCTCTTTCCACAAAGTCACCAGTTGCAATTGGTTGCGAATGGGAAAATACGTGGAGCAACTAACGAATCCAAGCAAGCATACGAAGCAAGTTTGTGAAGGCCACGCGGCTCCATGTGAACAGCCCGGCGTTGCAGGTGCGCCAAAATTGTCCTTTTTGCCGCACACCTGACCCGAACAAAGGGCGCCGATGTGTTTCTAGGACGAACCCTGTCTTGAGAAGCTGTGGCCTCTTGGGGTTCGTCCTACTTATTTTGCCGCACACCTGACCCGAACAAATGGTGCAAATGTGTTTCTAGGACGAACCCTCTCTTCAGAAGGTGTAGCCTCTTGGGGTTCGCCCTACGTATTTGGAAGCAGCCTGGAAGCACGTTGACATGAATATGCTGAGCACTCTCGGCCCAAACAAAAGGGCGCATGAACATCCGAACAGCTGACCCCGGTCTACGCGATCGTGGCAACACTGTGTCTCAGACTTGTTTCGGACAGACGTCAGACCCACCAAATGACCGAGGATCGCCCACACCGAGCCTCCCCGCAAAAGCGCAGCGCCGGCCCCGTCTCCACACAACTTGCCATCCACACGCATCCAATTGACAGCGTGCGCGGCCCTTTCCACAAAGCCACCAGTTGCAATTGGTTGCGAATGGGAAAATCGGTGGAGAAACTAGCGAATCCAAGCAAGCTTACGAGGCAAGTTTGTGAAGGCCACGTGCACGGCTCCTTCACCGCGTGCCAAGATTGTCCTTTTTGCCGCACACCTTACCCGAGCAAATGGCGCCAATGTGTTTCTAGGACTTTAGAGTCTGTGGCCTCTTGGGGTTCGCCCTACGTATTTTGCCGCACACCTGACCCGAGCAAATGGCGCCAATGTGTTTCTAGGACGAACCCTCTCTTCAGAGTCTGTGGCCTCTTGGGGTTCGCCCTACTTATTTGGAAGCAGCCTGGAAGCACGTTGACATGAATATGCTGAGCACACTCGACCAAACAAAAGGGCGCACGAACATCCGAACAGAGTCCTAATTTTTTTCCCAAAAGCATCTCTGATGCTTGGGTTCTGCTTTAGGTTTTCTCTTAAGGTGCCTGGGAGCGATACAAGCTGTGACGACGGAGATAAGAAGGGATTTCCATTTCGTTGTGCTGCAGACCGGGCGTGCGATGCCGGCTGGGGTGCAGACCGGGCGTACGAGGTGGCTGGGGCCCGCGAGCGAGAGAGACTGGCGCGCTCGTGACATGCGGAAACCGCCCGCGAGCGAAAAATGGTGACATGCGGAAACCGCCCGCGAGCGAGACTGGCGCGGTGGACGCTCGTGACATGCGGAAACCGCCCGCGAGCGAGACTGGCGCGGTGGAACATGCGGAAACCGCCCGCGAGCGAGACTGGCGCGGTGGACGCTCGTGACCTGCGGAAAGCGCCCGCGAGCGAGACTGGCGTGGTGGACGCTCGTGACATGGAGAAACCGAGACTGGCGCGGTGGACCCTCGTGACATGCGGACGGTGGAACATGCGGAAACCGCCCGCGAGCGAGACTGGTGGACGCTCGTGACCTGCGGAAACCGCCCGCGAGCGAGACTGGCGTGGTGGACGCTCGTGACATGGAGAAACCGCCCGCGAGCGAGACTGGCGCGGTGGACCCTCGTGACATGCGGTGTCGGACTGGCGCGGTGGACGCTCGTGACATGCGATACTGGCGCGGTGGACGCTCGTGACATGCGGAAACCGCCCGCGAGCGAGACTGGCGCGGTGGACGCTCGTGACATGCGGAAACCGCCCGCGAGCGAGACTGGCGCGGTGGACGCTCGTGACAGGCCGAAACCGCCCGCGAGCGAGACTGGCGCAGTCCGCTCGTGAGCGGAAACCGCCCGTGAGCGAGACTGGCGCGGTGGACGCTCGTGACACGCGGAAACCGCCCGCCAGCGAGACTGGCGCGGTGGACGCTTGTGACAGGCGGAAACCGCCCGCGAACGAGACTGGCGCGGTGGACGCTCGTGACATGCGGAAACCGCCAGCGAGCGAGACTGGCGCGGTGGACGCTCGTGACATGCGGAAACCGCCCGCGAGCAAGACTGGCGCGGTGGCCGCTCATGACAGGCGGAAACCGCCCGCGAGCGAGACTGGCGCGGTGGACGCTCGTGACATGGGGAAACCGCCCGCGAGCGAGACTGGCGCGGTGGACGCTCGTGACACGCGGAAACCGCGAGCGAGACTGCGCACGTGACATGCGGAAACCGCCCGCGAGCGAGACTGGCGCGGTGGACGCTCGTGACATGCGGCGCGGTGGACGCTCGTGACATGCGGAAACCGCCCGCGAGCGAGACTGGCGCGGTGGACGCTCGTGACATGCGGAAACCGCCCGCGAGCGAGACTGGCGCGGTGGACGCTCGTGACATGCGGAAACCGCCCGCGAGCGAGACTGGCGCGGTGGACGCTCGTGACATGCGGAAACCGCCCGCGAGCGAGACTGGCGCGGTGGATGCTCGTGACATGCGGAAACCGCCCGCGAGCGAGACTGGCGCGGTGGACGCTCGTGACATGCGGAAACCGCCCGCGAGCGAGACTGGCGCGGTGGACGCTCGTGACATGCGGAAACCGCCCGCGAGCGAGACTGGCGCGGTGGACGCTCGTGACATGCGGAAACCGCCCGCGAGCGAGACTGGCGCAGTGGACGCTCGTGACATGCGGAAACCGAGACCGGTGGACGCTCGTGACATGCGGAAACCGCCCGCGAGCGAGACTGGCGCGGTGGACGCTCGTGACATGCGGAAACCGCCCGCGAGCGAGACTGGCGCGGTGGACGCTCGTGACATGCGGAAACCGCCCGCGAGCGAGACTGGTGCGGTGGACGCTCGTGACATGCGGAAACCGCCCGCGAGCGAGACTGCCGCGGTGGCTTGTGACAGGCGGAAACCGCCCGCGAGCGAGACTGGCGCGGTGGACGCTCGTGACAGGCGGAAACCGCCCGCGAGCGAGACCGGCGCGGTGGCTCGTGACAGGCGGAAACCGCCCGCGAGCGAGACTGCCGCGGTGGACGCTCGTGACATGCGGAAACCGCCCGCGAGCGAGACTGGCGCGGTGGACGCTCGTGACATGCGGAAACCGCCCGCGAGCGAGACTGGCGCGGTGGACGCTCGTGACATGCGGAAACCGCCCGCGAGCGAGACTGGCGCGGTGGAGCTCGTGACATGCGGAAACCTCGCGAGCGAGACTGGCGCGGTGGACGCTCGTGACATGCGGAAACCGCCCGCGAGCGAGACTGGCGCGGTGGACGCTCGTGACATGCGGAAACCGCCCGCGAGCGAGACTGGCGCGGTGGACGCTCGTGACATGCGGAAACTGCCCGCGAGCGAGACTGGCGCGGTGGACGCTCGTGACATGCGGAAACCGCCCGCGAGCGAGACTGGCGCGGTGGACGCTCGTGACATGCGGAAACCGCCCGCGAGCGGACTGGCGCGGTGGACGCTCGTGACATGCGGAAACCGCCCGCGAGCGAGACTGGCGCGGTGGACGCTCGTGACATGAGACGCGGTGGACGCTTGTGACATGCGGAAACCGCCCGCGAGCGAGACTGGCGCGGTGGACGCTCGTGACATGCGGAAACCGCCCGCGAGCGAGACTGGCGCGGTGGACGCTTGTGACATGCGGAAACCGCTCGCGAGCGAGACTGGCGTGGTGGACGCTCGTGACATGCCGGCGAGCGAGCGCGGTGGAGGTCGACGCTCATGACATGCGGCAACCGCCACGTGCGCGGCTCCAGGTACGCCATAATTGTCCTTTTTGCCGCACACCTGACCCGAACAAACGGTGCCAATGTGTTTCTAGGACGAACCCTCTCTTCACAAGCTGTAGCCTCTTGGGACTCGCCCTACTTATTTGGAAGCAGCCTGGAAGCACGTTGACATGAATATGCTGAGCACACTCGGCCCCAACATAAGGGCGCATGAACATCCGAACAGCTGACCCCGGTCTACTCAGATCGTGTTGTAACACTGTGTCTCAGACTTGTTTCGCCCACCAAGTGACCGAGGCTTGTCCACACCGAGCCCCCCGCAAAAGCGCAGCGCCGGCCCCGTCTCCACACACTTGCGGCGAATCCACCCAACTTGCCATCCACACGCATCCAATTGACAACGTGTGCGGCCCATTCCACAAAGTCACCAGTTGCAGTTGGTTGCGAATGGGAAAATAGGTGGAGAAACTAACGAATCCAAGCAAGCATACGAAGCAAGTTTGTGAAGGCCACGTGCACGGCTGCATGTGAACAGCCCGGCGTTCCCGGTGCGCCAAAATTGTCCTTTTTGCCGCACACCTGACCCGAACAAATGGTGCCAATGTGTTTCTAGGACGAACCCTCTCTTCAGAAGCTGTGGCCTCGGGGTTCGCCCTACTTATTTGGAAGCAGCCTGGAAGCACGTTGACATGAATACCTAGAACTTCCTGCGGCGGAAATTTCTGCCGCAACGCATTGCGGCGGAAATTCCCGCCGCATTCCAGAAAATCAGCCGCAAACAAACAAAAACGCCGCAACCAAAACAAAAACGCCGCAACACCGTTTGCTTTCCGGGAATTTCCGCCGCATTCCCGCCGATTTCCGCCGCATTCCCGCCGATTTCCGCCGCAAATCAGGGGGTAGAAAAAACTGAAAACAAGTTCTGCCGCGAATCTAAAAAAACGCCGCAAATCAGGAAGAAATGCCGCAAATCCAAAAAGGCGCCTTTTTTGATTTGCGGCAGAAATTTCTGCCGCAACGAATCTCTAGGTATGCTGAGCACGCTCGGCCCAAACAAAAGGGCGCATGAACATCCGAACAGCTGACCCCGGTCTACTCAGATCGTGTTGTAACACTGTGTCTCAGACTTGTTTCAGATGGGTGTAGAGCGAGCTTATGGTAGTTTGTGCGGATCCATTTTCGGATTTCTGCGATTGGTTCTTCATGATGAATCGGATGACTTCGTGCCTTCCATGTAGTGCGGGGCCTGTCATGTTTCACCCGTGCCTTTGCCTTTTTCTCTGTGCTTGGTCAGAGCACAGGCTGCTGGCTGCCAATCCGGCTTGAGTCGCGGTTGCTCCCTGTTTTGGGGTTGATTTCCCAACTGTGAACAACTTAAATTTTGGTTTGCCTTCGGGCCCTTGAGCCGGAAAACAACGGGATCCACATGCCGTGGGGAGTTAGGCTGGTTTGCTTTTGGGTTCCCGGGCTCCTCTTGTTTCTGGAATCAAGAGGTTTGCAGATTGAGTATTTTGGCGGGAATACACAGACTTTCAAACGACAAGCCTGTGCAAACGCGACAGCTTCAGCAACAATCAATTACTCGGCCGACCTCACTTTTTGAAAAACACCATCCTTTTCCCAATCGTTGAAGGAGCTAGGGCATGCGCGAGAACCCTTCAGATAACCTGAGAGGAAGCGCCGGAAGGTGCCTGCTTTTGCAAAGTTAGGACAGGCCGCCTGCTACGTGTACCAAATTTGAGTGGCAGCGTCAAAAGGGAAACAGAAAGCTCACAGGTACTTGTCGGTTGGGGGCCCCCGGAACCCATATTTTTTCGCACGGGTTGCAACGGGTTGGCCACGGGATATCCACGGGTTCCAAAACACTGTTTTCTGAAGACACGAAGTTTGGGTGAAAAACACGTTTCCACAAGGTCCCCAACTTTCCCCCGCCAAAGCCTTCGAAAAGTGTCGTGCTTGGCGATTTTTCTCAAAACACCTGCCATGTCCAGGTTACACATGCAACATGATGTTCCGAACTCCCGTTGCAGGGCCCGCAGCATGGCATTCGACCTTTCTGTTTGTACACCCTTTGTACCAGGTCATACATGGGATTTGCCTGAACATATACCCCCAACATCCTTCTCCAGTGCAGTGCCCATGTTTGAAAGGTATGCCCGTTTGGAGTGTGCAAAGACAGGTCGTTTCAGCAGGAAAGACCAGAATGGCCTGAAAAGTACCGATGGTGCTGAAAGCACGATGTTTGTATCCCTAAAAACACCATGGTTCCATCAGGGCACGGCAAATTTACAGGTTCTTGAGTCTCTAAGTATGGTCATATGTGCAGATCTTGTCACTCCCTGCCTCCTTTGCCTGAGGTTTGGAGATTTTCTGTCTAATGTTGACCCCGGATCTAGGGGGTGCTCCCTGAGCTGTGGTGCGTGACGCCACCCCCCCATCCGCCCATCCGCTCCCCATTAAACCTTGGAGCCTGTGTGCCCTTCTTGGTTTTCCCGCATTTCCGCTTTCGATGTTGACATGTAGATAACACGTTTTATTATAGATCTATTGCTATTTCTTTCTCAGGCAGTCTCCCCTGTCTTGGCAGTTTTCTCTCCACTGCATTGGTGACATGTTAGTTGTTGCACACGTTCGGATCAGTCTGCCCCAGGCCCAAGGCGCGACGTCGGGGACTTCGGCGACTTCGGTGCCTTCGGTGACTCCCGACCGCTGCGAGCCATGCCCTGGCACTGCCCCGTTGGAGGTGACGCTTGGACCAAGACACCAAGGGCGGGTCGGTCGAAAGCGGCATCTCTCCCCGGCGGCCGCCAACCCAAAAACAATTTTTCTAAAGAGGGAGGGTGCTTGGGCAGGGGGAGGTTTGCAACTTTTGGAAACTCAGAATTTCAGGATTTGGGTGTGTCGTTGTTGAGGGTGGGTGTAACGTGACACGAAAAGGGCGCCCGTCCCATTTTGCCGGCTCCCAGGAAATTCTATGGGAACTGCATGTTGAACTGTTTTCCCCGTAGGTTATGAGTCGGGAAGTCTCGCTGAAATTTCTGCCACGGGATTCTTTTGGCGCCCGAGGACGTTTTACCCGCACGAGCGGTTGAACCCCAAGGTGTCCGTGCGTCCGGGCGGTTTCTTTTCCACGCCCTGGCGGGTACAAGCCGGAAGCCGCGCCGCGGCAGGAAGCTTCGAGGGCATGAGAGGCTTTTTATAGAATCACCCGTACTATATCGTATCATTGTTTTGTTTTTTGTTGTTGAACTTGTTTAAAACTGAGAACTAACAGATCGATTTTGTCCGCTAGAATGTTATAACAACACAAGCATGACACATGAAAGACAGGGGCGGGATGATGGGCAAAAACTAAAAACACACGGAATGGCCCCCGTCCATTCCGAGGCGAGCCAGACCACTGAGACCACTGAGGTTATGGCCACCTTGGAATGAGAAGGCAGTCATGAGGCAAAAGGAGCTTAATATGGCGCCTTTTTTTTGCCCCCATTTGAGCAAAGAGTTGTTGGTATTTGGGGGGTATCCGTTGGGGGGGATCACAGAAGGATGCAGCTTGGGATGATGGCTTGGCATCGGTTTCCTTGACGGGGTGAGGTGTTTCCAGGCACGCTCGCATTTCGTTGGATATCTCTGAGTGCCATGCTTCCAGACGAAATGCATGGCTGCATGAACTTGAGACAAGGAATGCGGGGACACCCAAGGGGGGGTCCTTTTTTGTTGCGAGTCTTTTTCCGAGTTACTTCGTGCCGTTTCCCTTTTTGGGAGTTCCCAATTGCACCCAAAGAAGGGTGCCCATTTTTCCAGTTCTTCCACGGGCCAAAGCTCCAATAACTCGGGGGAGCAACCACTTTGTGTATGCTCGGCCAGGATCCAGTCAAGGGAGCCAAGGTTTTCCTTGAACCCCCCCACCTTGAGATCAGCTCCAAGAACCAAGCCCAACAAACAACTAGCCCGAATCAACCCCCCAAACCAACATGTGAGGTTTCTGTGGTGATTCTTCTGGTCCTCCAGCAGCTTTGCTTGAAACCGAGCCCAAAAGGGTTTCTTCAATCGAATCCACCGAGAAACTTCTCAAGGCGTGCAGCTGGTGCTGCAGCTGCCCGGACGATACAACAAGGCGTGCCAGAACGCGAAGGCGTGAGGCTTGCGATTTTTTGTTTGGGGGGGGGGTACGGCCGGGGGGGGAGGCTGTGGGTTAACCAACCGGTTTTCATGTTCAGGCGAGGAACTGCTGAACCGAAAAGACTCACCTTCCGAAAGCTGCCTGGTGGGTTCCATGTTGGGAATGGCTTTGGTTTTCACCAGCCATGGAATTAGTGACTTGACTGAGTTGACTTGTACCCTGCCTGGTACTTGAATCGGATCTGCACTTTTGGGTGTAAGGCCAAGGGAGCTCACCCCATTCCGGGTTTCCAGTTGGCCGTTTCCTTCAAGATCAATTGCCAGAGCTAGCAGACTCTATGTTTCTTGCGCATCTGACTCCATACGGGCGTGGTGCTGTTGAGGATATCACCTGAGCTTGTGTCGCTTTTTCCTTCTTCGGATGTGATTTTCTCTTCTTTTTCTTCTTCTTTGTTTTCCGTAGAAACGGTGGTTGCCGTTCAGTGCTCCGCATGCACGTTTGCACCACGGCTCCCAGTTTCTGGGTACCCGGAGGCTACATCGCGCTCGCGGAATGAACGAAGTGAGCGATTGAGTTAGGATCAGTTCAGCTTTGGTCTAGCACCTTCCTTCCCTGCAAGCCCTACACGGCTAAGGGTCATTTGCATTTGGGTGGCCTTGGCTGCTTTTTTCGTGGTAGTCTGAACGCATTTTGGGTGTCCTTTTTGAGACCGTCCCATGGTGGATGTGCACATTCGGCCCCTGGAGGCGCTTTTCAAACCCTCACCCATTTCGGGGGTGACCTCGCGGCACCTGACTTGGGGTGTGCTTTTTCAAGGGTGGCTTGGCTCCTTTTGGGAAACCAAAGAAGGCTTCCACCCATTGCACAATCCACTCCCAGCTGAGGTACAATGAGCAATTTCTCTGCCCAAGCCGACCGTTTATCCTTTTGGTTTTCCAATTTTGGTCTATCTTTAGTAAAGGCCCCAAGAGGTTAACCTTTTATGTTTGGGTCCTTTGGGCGACTGAGATTTGCTCGCCCTCTACCTGCCACGTATTTTCCTTTAAGGTTTGCCTGTGACATGGCCCAGGTTTCGAGGCAATTTGAGGTCTGAGGCGAGTGTTCACGCTTGACGCACCTGGCTTTGGCTGTGTTCAATTGTTGTCTGCTCATTTTTCCGACCCCCCCCCCTTGTTGGATTTAACAATTATCAGGACAAGCAGCACTCGGAAGATCCCTGCCCTGCTCAGCCCCTTTGCCTTCAGGTCCTTCGGAACTACATGGCCTGGTTCGGCGCAGAAGACGCGCAGTTCCTCTTCGCGGCCAAGGGCCTCCCGGCAAACGCGTCGGAGGGCGGCAAGGGGCGGCTCACCTTGGACTTCGTGGTCCACGACGCAGGCGGGTTGATCGGATGCGGCAGAGTCGGCTACGCCCATCGCCGTCTCCAGGCAAAACCCGCCCCCTGCGCACCTGTCACCCACCCACCCACCCACCCACCTGCGCACCCACCCATGTTCCCTACCTCAGACCCCGTTCTGCTCACCATTTTTCATTCTCAGGTACTTGCAGCCAAAATGGCTACAGCGTTCCTTTTTAAAGGGAAACCAACCGGAAAATCATCATTATTATTGTAAGCGCTTCGCGTTGCCCGCCTTGGCCAGGTATACACTGTGCTTTAGTTTGCTTTGAAGTCTTGTGTTTATTAGACTGAGTGAGTCGGCGCCGAAATGCGTGAGCTGGTTTCCAAGGTAGAGTGTTTGCACGTGGCTTCAAGGCCAGAACGAGAGCCGCAGAGAGCTACAGAATGGCAGTGGGCTTGGGCCAAGTAAAGGTGCAATTGAATTTGACCGGTTTCTGGGGGGAAGCCGGTTTCTGGAAGGATTTGACCGGAGTTGGACTGGTGTTTAGAGGACAGGTTTCTCGGTTTCGTGGTTTGCCTGGCGTCGGACCGGCTTTGAGAGGACCAGTTTCTAGCAGGATTTTGCTGGCCTTTATTGGAGATGCGACTGGTCTGGATGGGAAAGATGCCCGGTTTCTAAGGGTGATTTGATCAGCTTCTTGACGGGGATCTGGCGGGATTTTGACCGAGGGGCGGTATCTGACCCTTTCCGAAAGGGATCTGATCGCTTGCTGGCCCTGGATTCCAGGCTCGCTGCAAACGGACTGGAGGCGGCTGGAGCAGGGATTTTGGCTGCGCGAGATGGGGTGAACTATTATTGTATTATTATTATTATTATTATTATTATTATTATTATTTTTATTTTTATTTTTATTTACTTACCTTTTTTATTCTACTTATTTTCTTTTTCTCTGATTTTGTGTGTGTTTCTGGGGGTTGGGGCCGGGCGTGAGGCGTGTACAACGTGTGGATCTGGGCCTTTGGGCTGAAGCTCACCCAAGCGGCACGGTTGCCAAAGCTGGTGGCCACGTCCAGCGCAGCCCGGCCAGCAGGGCGTTCTTTTCTTCGGGATGGAGGGGCCCCCTTAGTACTTGTTGGCTAGCCACCTGGTTCAACTTAGCTTTTGAGATGTTAGTTGGTTTAGTCAGGCAAGCCAAATCTTTCGCAGATGTTTCAAGTTCCAATCAGCGAGAATCAAGACTTTCAAAGTCGGCCACGGATTTGTATCTTAAAATTCTCGCCACACGTGCTTTTAGTTTGAGCCCAACCCGCCTTCTGCACAGCAAATCGGGCGAATTGGATGTTGGATCCGAGGAGCTGAATTCCGGAGTCGAGGTCCCGCCGCGGCAGTGCCGGCTTGGCCAAGACGCTTAGCCAAGATGTGAATGGGTCGGCGAGCCGGCCAGTCGTTTTTTCTCCTTTCAAGACAAAAAAACCTTCCTTTGTGGTCCACCCAGCCCATTGTCAACTTCGGCACCCCCTCGAATGTGCATCAAATTAATGTCGCTACGAAAGAAAGGAGCCGCCCCTGATTTGTACGGTCCTCCGGATTCATCCGAAGTTTTCATTGGCGGGATATGCACCACATATGCCATGGTCAGAAGCTCAGTTGCCGCAGACGCGAGTCGACCGGATCTGACCTTGTGGTTGTCTTGTTTTGGCCTTTAGTCAGAGAAGAAAAGGTTGACCTTCTATTGCCAGGTCCCTCCGGAGAGTGAGAAAGGCCCTTTAACTGGGGGTTGTTAAGGATGGTTCATAAGGATGGTTCTTAATGTCTTGGCGGGGCCTTTGAACGTTGAGCTTCCTTTGAGCTTCCTTTGAGCTTCCTTTTGAGCTTCCTTTTGAAGAATCATTCCCTGGAGGGTTGGGCACACGCCACTTGTCCGTTTGGCTTCTGCCTTCTTGGTGTTTATCGCAATCCTAGCTCGCAGAAGTGTCGGCATTGTCGGGGGTGTTTCGGACCTGTCCCAACACGTGGCAAAAGGGTCCGCAACTCAACTAGGCCCTAGATGATGAAAACTCCTTGGCAGTCTCTTTTTTCCAGAGTCTTTCCAGCGTGCGTTCCGGTTTCCACTTCCCAAGGTCCTCCTGTTCCCACGTCTCCCCCAAGAGGTTTTGGAGAAGTATTCTATGTTCTTGCTCAAACATCCGGTATTAGGGTTGAGCTTTCCTCGCTCGGGGGGTACTGCGTCACTACTTTAGTACCCGCTATTGTATGCCGGGAATATCACAAGCAAACATCCCAGACATCGGCCGGGGAAACAGTTGAACTCCTGCACTACACTTCTTTGGGTGTTTTTGTTCCGTTTTTGTGTTTCCTTGTTGTGTGGGGGGGCAGTGTTTTTTTCTCTCTCTCTTTTTTTGGGGGGGGAGGGGTCGGGGGTGTTGGGGTGTTGGGTGCCTGCAAAACCCAACTTCAGAACGACATGTCCCTGAGTCCACGCGTAGTTGCGCGACTCAGGACACCTTCAAGGACGGGCGCTGGGTCAAAGTCTCGGCTCTGCGGCACGGCGCCTGCAGCAGCTGCACGCCCGATGGGTTTCTGGGCCACGAAGCGAAGCGCGAAGCGACCGGATCCGTTTTTTGCGGCGAACTCGGGCTACGAGGAACAGGTGTGGGAAACCCCTGCTTGATTTCAAGGGAAGCCAAGAGACAAGCTTTTGTGGTGTATGTGTTGTTTTTTGTTTTTTGGCGGGGGGTCGCCGATCTTTTTGGTTGGTAAGGGGAAGGCAAAAGGAACACCACTTTTGGGCTTCTGATTTTCAGACAACATGTCCCTAGCTTGGCCCGAAAAAAGTAAAGTGCACTTCCACAAACCGATTTGGCTTTGCCAGTCTTGCGATGACTGTCTGGAGGGGGACCAAGAAGGGATGGATCAGTCTATTTCTTCCCTTGAATTGATAGAGAAAGGGATGGCCAAGTGAGTTTTGGTTTTTCTAGACCCCCCCCTCTGACGCCAAATGCTGGGCGTTTTGGTCCTGAGGTACCTTTCGCCCACTTGCCACTGGGCTTTGCCGCCGAGCCCTGAGCGTGTGCTGAGGCCGCTGGGCCCCAGCGCGACCTGCGTTTTCCTTCCCGGTTCTCTTGGTACTGTTGAGCCATAAGGTGTGTCTTGCCCTCCAAAAGCGATAAGTCCCCACCAAAACCAAAAGCACAACCCATATGAATAAAGAGGGGTTAATTCATATGGGGTCAACCTTCAGTGGCTTTTATAAAAGGCTGATTGTATAGTTACAAATTCCCATGCCAACATTCACGGAAGCATTGGGCATTTGGAGCACCCATGATGGGGGGAGCCGCAAAGCACTTGCTTGAATGAGTGCTGAAGCCAGGGCATCATAGTGAGAGGCCGCAACAAATGCAGCGCTTTTCCTAGTTTGGGGCTGCAAGAAACATATTCTTTGCCAACATGCCACGGGCTGGAAAGACGGTTTGAACCAGGAGGACCGCAGGGCTTGCAAAATGCCGATTTGTTTGACGGGGCTGGTCATCTGTCAATTTGCCAGACCCCCTCTCCGCCCAACAAAAAAAAGCGCCCCCCCCCCCCAACAAAAAGAACAAACAAACAAACAAAAAGCGCCCCCCCTCCCCCAACAAAAAAAACAACAACAACAAAAGCCCCCCCCCGGACCAAGAAGAAAACAGATGCGCCCAGAACGAGACCCAAAAGACCAACTCCGATGGCAGGCACGCCGCTTCAGCAAGCTTGAGACCATGGGTGGTTTTCATGGGCTCTTCCGTTTCCCGTGGCTCCGCGCACGCGATCATGGAATTCCTGGGCCAGAGCAGCCTTCGAGAGCGCCTTGCCGAAGTGTGAAGAAAGCGTTTTCTAGGACGCCCAGTATTGCCAACTCTTACCCTTTCTTGTTTGGTTGGGAGGGTTCCCCCACGAAAATCGACGTCCTGAAAAAAAGTGGGTACCCTTCTTCTGGCCTCTCTACTGGAGGACCTAGTTTTTGAAGAAGCCTGATTTGGGCACAATCAATCCCGGGTAGATGAAGGTTAGGGATAGACCCAACCACAAATGGGTGCGGATGTCCGCCGTTTTAAGTCTTTAACTTGGCGGGTAGACCGTTTTAATGCCGATCGGTCTCGGTGTTTTGATGTCTCATTTGGAGGAATGAAGGTGGGGAGGTGAAAGCTGGACGTTGGTCGCCTTTTCTGGGGTCTCCAAGGCTCTTCTATTTTGGGGCAGGCTATTTTAGGAAGATGATATTCAGAAGATTTCTATATATATTCAGAAGATGATATTCAGAAGATGATGTTCAGAAGATGACATATCAACATCTAAGGAATCTGAAGACAGTTTTATCTGTCCGGGCCAAGTTCCGTCGCCGGATTCCCAAATGAGCTCGTGAGCTCTGGTTCTTCTTCAGGCCCATTCTCACCCGCCATGCTTCAATGTGTTGGTTTCCCCTTGAGGGAGGGGGGGTGCGGTAAGTCCCGCTCGCTCCCCGCTTAAGACTTAAGATTATTTAAGCTTTATGTTCAGTTCCCTGTTTGTGTATGTGTTAAACGATTGGGACCCTCAAAGTCGCGGTTTGCCTCGTTCCCCTTTCAACCAGGCGCCCTTGACATCTGGCCACTTGTTTTGCAGGGTCTCTGTAATTGAGCGTCCAAAAAAAAGACGAGCGCCAGTTACAACCCTTGAGGAAGGGGCCAGGAAAACCCTCGGCAACGTCGGCACGTCACCGAAAGCCAGGCTGTGAGGTGCATTTGTTTCCCAGGCGCTTGGCCAGGGTCTTGGTTGGGTCTGGAGTCAGAAATGTTCGGTCGATGGCCAACCCAAATTTCATGGGAAACTGTTGGCCCCGCACGAATCACCCAGTTTATGAATAGGGGGTGGGTCCCCTCCGAAAGTGGACCCTACGAATTAATAAACTGGCTGGTTGATTCGTCTGCAGTAACCTCAAAAGTTGCGTTACACGCAGTTCTACAGGAAAACAGCTAAATTAGAGTGTCTCCGGGCAATTTCCTGT